ATTCAGGATACACTGCCACAACCAGCCTCCATTCCGAGTTTGAATCCCCCTTGTTTGCCACAAAATTAGGACATCTCTCTCTCCCCTGTCGGAATTCCACTTTTCCGAACCTACCACGCCTTGACAGTTGCTATCATAGGGGTACTTTGATTCATCTAAACCGAATTTCGCCACCAAAGAATCCAGTCTCCCTTTTGTCCATTGAGCACAGGACCCCGTTCTTTCAACGCATCAAAAGCCGTTGAGGAAACCAACTTAATAGCCTCTTCTCAATCTTCTCTTTGCTCACGCAACAAGTACGTGTTCTGCTTTCGCTCCTGTTTGATTTATGCCTCAACGAGTCCTTACGCATTCATTAACACTCCCTTTATTCTTGCTACAGAACCGACCATGAATCCCTTTTTGAACTGGGCTATTATGCTCTTCGTCAGTGGCGGTGTCTTTTGGTATTACAGACTTAGATCCCCGCCCAACGTAAAAATTACGCCTTTCAAACCTGCCGCTGAGAAACACGAAAACGGGTTTCTCACCAAAAAGGCGAAGCGGAAAGTAAAGCGATCGCCAGACAACACCACCAGCAATGGCAGTCGTACCCCGCCTATCGTGGAGGTTCCAGAGATCCGAAAGGTGGTTTCCTCTACTGAAAATTGGGCTGGTGATGAGGGAATGAACAACAAGGAGTTTGCCAAGCAATTCACCAAGGCGAAAGAAGGCACCAAGCTAGCATCTGCGGATGGCAAAGCTAATAAGAACGAAGTCCGCGCCAAAACTATCGTTAGCAGTACTGTTGTGCCGGACAACAAGGATGTGACAGAGTTGTTCACTCGCACGTCATCCAGCACGGAGGAAGATGCGGACGATGACCTCTCTTCCGCAAACTCACCGGTTGTTAACCCAACTGTGCCAGTGGCAGGCAGCGTCTCCGATATGCTAGCGCCTGCCCCAGCAGTCATACCTCCCCTCCGCCTTGTTAATATCCCTCAAGTAAATGAACAGACAACAATGAAAAAGGAAAAGTCGGAAAATGTGGGGGAGACAAAGAAACAACGCCAACGAAGGCTTAAGAATGAAAATAGAAAGTTGATGGTAGAAGAATCGGAAAGAGAGCGTCGTATTCAACTTGAGAAACACCTCCACACGGCCCGAGAACTTGAACGCCGCGAGGCTGCTAAATCTAAGCCCACTCCAGCCACCAATGCATGGCAAACAAGCGCCATCAGCAGCCAACCAAATGGGCAGCCCAAATCTGCACCTGCGCCATTGCCCTCACCTCTTCTAGACACGTTCGACTCGACGCCTCAACCCACCTCCAGTCCTTCTGCTACGCCTGAGAGCATCAAGGCGTCTCCTTATTTTGAGAGCTGGGCCAACAACTTACCTTCCGAGGAAGAGCAGATACGTATTATAATGAGTGAAAGTGAGTGGACGACAGTATCTAGCCGCAAAAAGGAGCGAAAAAATGACTCCAGGCGAGCCGGAAAGTGTGAGTGCCAGTGATACAAGCAGCTCCGACTTTCAAAGCAGTAAGAGAGACGAGGGCACCGATAAAATCCCAGCAACCCACATCAGCAGCAAAACCAAGCAACGACATCTTTGTTTCCTCCAAATCTAATCGAGACCTTCAACGGCAAAGGCCATCCATTAGATTCGGACTGGGATCCTTGATGAAACTCCCAAGCCAAGTTCGTATAAACTAAACTGCATACAATCCAATGACCATGAAAAGTCAACAAATAAATTCATACACATAAGTATCCGTTTTCTGTATCTATATTATATTAGCGCTCGAATAACCACCGCTCCCTATTTCCCTTTTCACTTTCCATCCCTGCCTATACCCCACTCTCTGGTGTGCTCCACCCGATTCCCCTACTTCCGGTGGCTAATGGCGTTTGGGTCATGTTTCTTGTAGACATCTAGTATATGTCATTTTCCTTCATCCTTGTCCTTGAGATCTTTCTTTTTTTTCCCTTGTTCTTTTCCGGCGCCGCTTCCTCTTGCTGGGTTGGTTTTTTTTTTGTCTCCCACTCTGTCCGTTTTTGTACAACTTTCATCCCATCGTCTCCCATAAATTTCTCTTCTCACTTTTTGTCATATTACCATGCAACGTTTTATCTGAGTCGCATATTCTATCTGGTTTTATTCTCTCTCCTCCAACTGTACGTTTCTTATGTGGCTGTATCTCTAAATGCTTCTCTTTTTCTTCACAAACATCAAAACATTGCCAAAAGAGAGGGGTGGAGAAGCAGGAAATGTAAGGTGACAAAAACAACCTTGTACACCAACTCCTTTCCTCCTCCTTTTAAACCCAATTCTTCATTTTTCAGCATCTCTGTCTCTATCCTGAGTTCTGTCGTGTTTATTTAACCCTGTATCATCTTTTCAACGACGTCTGTGAGAATCCAAGCCCTAGTTGAGAAGAAACTTTGTATTTAATTTATCCTCATTTATATATTTATATTGTATTCACGGTTCTTCTACATTTTCCCCCGCCCCTCTCTTACTTTGTTTACCTTTTACCCCTCCAGCGTTCCCAATTCGTAATATTTTTTTTATTTTCACTGTGCTCTTTTATCTTGAACAGAGGCTCATTTTCGTCCCCCCCAATTCAAAGAACATACATTACATAAACCAAGGGGGGGGAAATGACCTTTGTTGCTGCCCTTTTACCCGTAACTATGTTTCAGACACGCACGCGGTAATATGCACTCCATCTGCCACACCTTGAAACCAACAATGTTGCTCCGGGCAACGTTAACTCCATTCAAACAAACAGAAGAGTGAGAGTGAGTGAGTACCAGTATCTATATATCCCTTCCCCTCTCAGCCATCCCAACCCGTACGCCTCCTCCTAGCTTGCGAGAGTCACAAAGTGGGTATAAAAACTCCGCAAACAACCGAAGCGGATCTCTGTCGCTGTGTTTAAGGGAAGGATATTATTATGCGGGGGATAGAAGGGAAGTTAGTGGGGAGGGAATAACGCTGGCTGGGGAAACCAATAACCGAGCCCAATGCACGAACTGAGAATAAAGGGGGGCGGGGCGGGGCGGAGCGGGGCAGGGCAGGGCAGAACGGGGTGCGGAGCTGGGGACCTACCTCCCATCCCTTGCTTTATCTGAGGGATTGGAAGAGTAAACTCGAATTTTTTGATGAGTTGTACAATGGTGATGTCTGATGCTGTTGTCAGTTCGGGTCTGCCTTTGTTATTTTATTTGTTTAGCAGCTGCAGGCGAGATTTTACCCCGTCCCCGTTCCCCCACGCACCTGTATATACTATGTAATGTAACACGTCGTACAGGACTTGAAGAGTAGGTATATTGTACAGTTCTACATCTCTTGGGACGTGGTGACATAACTCTGTAGATGGAATATATGATCTGGCGGACAACTTTTTGGCAACTGGATACAGGTGGAAGCATCGAAAATAAGAACTTTGAAGATGGATACTAGTATTTAACGTTATATTGTAGCGGTGTGTTGAAAAAAGACCTGTAGTCATATGTCTCAATAAGGCATCACAGTTACGGAGCATTGGTTTACCATCTCTGGAAGGCTTTGAAGGTGAGGAAGCGTCGTTTGCATCACAGACGCATTGTCGCAGTAATACCTCTGCATTTGGATATACTTCGTCTTCACTGTGAAGAGAATATCAGCTTTTCATGATTCAAGTTAATATTACATAGTAAAATGGCGATAGGACAAAAAAAGGTACGGATCGCCAACAAGCCACAGGGATTTCCGTATTTGGGAGCGACCGATCTTCACGTGATTATGTCCCTTACTAATCCATGGGATCCTGGTAACCATTCCTCTTTTGGTTACTCCGTCTGATTTCCGCATCGTGGCCTGTTCTCTCCAAGAGCCCCAAACAACCCAGACCTTGGCCAACACTCCGAGATATCTTGAACTTCCCCGCCCGCCCCGGCCTAATGCTATCCACTTGTTCTGCCTTTTTCTTCTTCTTCTCCTTCTCCTCTTCTGCGGCCCTGTCTCAACTCTGCTGTTTTCCGTGTATTTAACCAAGTCCCTCTTTTGAGTTCCGGTCTCGCTCCTCCAGCCACTTCCTTGTTTCCCCCCCTCCCCCCGACAAAGCGAGCTCCCCTTTGACAACCATGGCGCAAATACGCGGCACAGCGGGCTACAACCTAGGACACCAGAACCCCTTTGGCGGTCCTGGAAGAGCAGATGCTACGAGCGACCCAAGCCCGCTCGATGCTATCCGAGAGCAGACCGGCAAGATTGAGGACTGGCTAGATACTTTCTCCGACCCCATCAGGCCGTATGTTTGCCCACACTGCCTTCCCCTAGGAACCGCTGCCCATGGAGATGGAGGATGGAGGAAACCCCTATACCGCCGCAGGCTATAGGCGATCTCCATAAAACGCAAAAAACATATTCCAGCTATCGAACACCAAGGGCTAATCATTTATCACATCGTGGGATTTGTATAGTTATCTACCAGCTGTCGGCCGTTTTTTGATAGTCGTTACTTTCCTCGAGGATACTCTACGCATCTTGACTCAATGGGGCGACCAGCTATACTATTTGAAAGACTTCAGAGGAAGTACGTTTGTTTCTTTTTCTTTTTCTTTTTTCCTTTCTTTTCTTTTTTTTTTTGGCCTCCTTTCCATGGAGTTGTGGCTCCATATCTTGGCTCTTGTCCTGTCTAACCAATCAAAACTTTTTGTATGTCTGTTGTATATAGTTCCATGGGGCATATCGCATATCTTCCTCCTAATAAACATCGTTGTGATGGTCTCTGGTTCGATTCTGGTCATCGCACGGAAACATAGTGAATATGCCGTCGCGGGGCTTCTCAGTGTTGTCGTCCTTCAGGCACTTGGATACGGCCTCATCTTCGACCTGAACTTCTTCCTCCGCAACCTCAGCGTCATTGGGGGGCTTCTCATGGTTCTTTCAGACTCCTGGGTGCGCAAACGGTTTGTCCCAGCGGGTCTCCCCCAACTGGACGAGAAGGACCGGAAGATGTACATCCAATTCGCAGGGCGTGTCCTGCTTATCTTCTTGTTCCTCGGGTTCGTATTATCTGGTAAATGGTCCTCCTGGAGAATCATTTTTAGCCTGTTTGGATTGGTTGCGTGTGTGATGGTTGTCGTTGGATTCAAAGCAAAGTGGAGTGCGACCATTTTGGTTGTTATATTAAGTGTCTTCAACCTTCTGGTTAATAACTTCTGGACGGTATGCCTTCCTCCCGCTTTCCTCCCTTCGATACAAAGCAGAGATTAATCAATCATCTTAATGCAGCTGCATTCCAAACACCCACACAAAGATTTCGCCAAATATGACTTTTTCCAAATCCTCTCCATTGTGTAAGTTCCTCGGTTTTTTTTCTTCTCCAAAATCCCATTTTCTGAATTCGCCTTTCCTTATTTCTCAGCGGTGAAAATACCAACTCATTCTGACATTTCTCTCCAGTGGTGGTCTCCTTCTCCTCGTCAACATGGGACCCGGTCAATTCAGCGTGGACGAGAAGAAAAAGGTGTACTAAATCATGTATTGCCCCTTTTCCTCTTCCCAATAAATATGATGACCAGAACAAGAAAAGGAGAACATCGGAAACGAAAAAAGCGGGCCCAATTATACTAACAATATCAACATGCGAATCGTATCACTTTCTACATTTATCGATACCTGGTACTAAATCTCTTACAATATTTCCTATTCAATCTACCCGTCCATAGGTTTCCTCCTTCCGTATTTCCAACGCTTCTTTATATCTTCCTTTTCTTTCCAGCAACCCTCAATGTCTCGGATAAAAAAAAAACATTGTGTTGTTTGTCCTATCCCCTAACCATTGTTGTGCTTCTTTCGTCAGAAATCTTTTGCTCCACTCTCATAGCATAGTTGTCTCTTTAACATTTTTTATTTTGTCTCATCTTTGACAATCATGCTTTTCCCTTTGGTGTTTTGTTTAACCTTTTGTCTCCTCTCGCCCCCCCAACCATACCTCACCTGGCTCTTGTTTTGAGAAGCCTTGTGATGTTTCATTATGGTGATTTGTTTTTTACTTCACTCCAGCTTGCCGTCAACGCAAACTTCAAGTTGAATTCCATTTTCTTCACAATTTCTTTCCCTTACTTTGTGAAACCGACATTTTATATATGTATGTATGCTATGTATGTGCAATCTGATTTGTAAGGCCTTGCTATTATTTATTCTGGGGAAAGCTAATTGTTTTGGCTTGGCTCTGAAAGAGGGCTGAGTAATGTACACACCTTTTACTGCAAAAACGTTCAGTTGATTTAACCAATTTGTTGATGGCTATGCGGATTATATTTGTATATTTTTTTATACATGCAGTCCAAAAGCATGAAAGGGGTGTCCTTTTGCTGGCGAAAAGTGGAACTTGTTGGTGCAGCTGGAATCAAGAGTTTGAAGCACTCCCTGGCCTTGTGGCCCGCAGTTTAACTATGTATGGGCCAGAATCCGTGAGAATCCCCCGTGAATCAGAGCTTACTTCCTAAGTACGTTTTCTGTGGATAGTTCTACACGCCAAGATATGAATAGAAAGAAATACATCATCAGTTTCTTCACTCCATGTTTTTTTCAAATGTGGAATTAAATCTCTCTAAATGGATAGCCTTCTTTTTTTTCACTTTTTTCTCTTGGTTTTTTT